GGGGTAAACAAAACGGATATATTTGTCTATTTGGTTACATTAACAAATCGGGCGTTACTTTTGATGCCGACTGTACAAGTATTTCTTATCAGTTTTTTTTTAGATATTTCAGTTCGATTTTTTTTGGCTTCAAAAGAGTCAGATTCAGTAATTTAACCCATTGGCATCGTTAAGGTCTTGTCAGACAATTGGATCTATCTCAATCATTTTTAAGATCGTTGTATGGAGTAAACGATACTGTGACCGATTCCTCAAGTTATTGGAAAATTGTCACGAGGTAAGAGACCAATCCCATGCCTCAGAAGGCACTTTGACAAAGTCAAGCTGGAGTAATAGTGATCATGTCTGTTGCATCCTACAACTTGCTGAAGCAAACTCATGACAGATAACCCAGACGAAAAAATACTAGATTTGGTGATAATACTCCCCTCTCAAAGATAAAAAATAAATACAGTATACCTTAGACAGATCAAAGACAACATCAAGTTCAGTAGATGGGGTTACTATTAGTGGTACGTCAGCTCATGGTTTGCGAGATATCTCAACGTACTTCTGTTCCTTTTTATTTTTATTGTAACGGAAGCGTCGTGACAATTTCTTTTTTGCTGGTGACTAAAAATTGATCCAGTAACTTTGAGATACGATATCTTGTGATCCACAGGTTCGATCTGGATAAAATACCACCATTCGATTTTTCAAGATAACTTAAACTGTGGTTTTCCGGAACAGAATTTTTGCCTGATTATTTTTTTTACAGGGAACTAGTTATTAATAACTGCATGTAGTTCAAAAAATGAGAATAAAAAGATGAAACCGATCAGTTCTACATGTACTAATATCTTTACGTACGTAACATTTAAGAAAATGTCTACGGTAATAAAATTACCAGGATCTTTTATTTGCATAGAGGCTCATCGAAAATTTAAATATGAAAAGTTCGTCTTATATGTTGTTTTAAAACAATTAGTTGTAATTACTAGGGGCTTTTAAATTAATTATTTAAATATTTAAATTATCCTACTTATATGAATTTTATAACGTGTGCATAGTACCCAAGGGGTATCGATGTTCAAATCGTTAGAGAGTACTATGTATAGGGGAATCCTATAGTTAGCGCTCTACAGTATTAACGTTATCAGTTTCGATTGTTGCTTTGTAGACACCAATTAAGACATTATCCAGCAATCTTCACCATTCAATTCAGAGGTGACCATTTCGGAACTGCTATTGAATAATATCTTCCACTGTTCACATCTATAAAACTTGCAATTTAACTCGTCAATCTTTTTAGGTGTTGTTTTGGTTGGATTTCTTTGTTATATAGTTCGGCGCACCTAAGCTATCTATAAACTTCTTAACGTTAACTGGAAAATCCATTTTATCTAATGAATTAAATTTTGTTAATAATAAAATTTGTTGACGAGTCAGTCAAAATTATTTCTTGTTTGACTCAATTAATTGCTTCAACATTGTTAATGAAACAAATTTAATTTGTATTTGGATAGTTAATCTTTAATAATCGTTTTGAATATACGAGATCATAGTGACGCATGTTTTGGTCTTATTGTTATTATCGTTCCCTTAGATGAATTGTCGTAAGTGCGATGTTATTGAGAGATTTTGTTATCTGATTTGTGCTTCGTAGATATGAAATTTTTAGTGAACAATTGTAGACTTTTGCGTATTAACGAGGATAGATATAATCGTGAATTTTGAATTATTTCACAGACATATGAAAATGGCAAGCTAAATTATGCTTTACTTTTATGAGAAACAAGCTTTAAATACAACAAGCAAATATTTTCAATAACGTCGTCGATATTCTCCGAAAGTAAAAAATCTCTGATGAAATATTAAAATAGCAATGATTATATGCGAGCCGAAGTTAGATATTTTACAAAAAAATCCCTGAATAAAGTTAATTAAGGAATGTACATCAAAATCCAATTTTTTTGCCTTTGAGACTTTGAATTTCAAAATATTTGATTTTACAGTGCAGGTCACTTAGTCACCACAATTGCTGCGCCACCGGAAAATTTTCAGGTATAATCACTAAAAGGGGGAGGAAAAATTTTGACATATTTATTCAAATACATGTACATGTATACCGTATATCGATATTGGATATACGTATGTATTGATTGATCTCTAAATTCTCGGATTCAGACTACAATTTGCATGACTATGCTACACCTTTTTGCAAACTGAGATAATTAGAATTATTCAAAACAAAGCATTTTACTCGTAAACATGAATAAAATTTCTTGCACGACCAATAACTCTCAGGAATGTAAGGGATGTCATAGAGATTCTTTCAAGTGCTGGTGCTGTAGCAAGTCATATGACGAAGAATGTAGTTGTGTGAAATTTAAATCGCCTTGTGATAGTTCTAAGTGTTCTTTCTGCCGTTCATCTCCAATACCAATAATTCTTTGGTGTCATCCACGTTCGTGTTCTTCGGTATTCCAACGAGCATTCCTTCAACGATCCCAAGAATTTAAGTGTTTTCAAGAACCATTTCGAAATGATGATGCCTTGAATATGAGATTTAAAATATATTATACACAAAAAGAAAAAGATAATGAAAAAGTTTCGAAAGAAGAAAATAATAAAGAAAATAAGCCACTTAGGGTGTTTGTCAAAGATATGGCAATTTTTATTGAAGGCCAATACGGACCCAATTCAACTTTGTCTAAATCGATACTTTTAAAGGTCAGACATTCATTTCTTATTAGAGATCCATCTAAATCCATAAAATCCTTTTACCGAACTATCTTTCAAATACATTTCCAACGATATGAATCTCTCAAGGAAAAAGAAGATGTTGAAAAAGCCATCAAACTAGATGATTTAAGATCTATAGCATCATCGATAGGCATTAAAGAACTTGCTAAGTTTTTTGATTATGTTAAGGAAGAGTTTAAAGACCAGACACCATTGGTGGTAGATGCAGATGATCTTTGTAAGGATCCAAAAGGTATATTGGGAAAATATTGTGAGTTGATTGGAGAGGTGTTTGATGAGAGTATGATCTCATGGAAGCCGGGAAAGGTCGAAGATTGGCATTCAATGGGTATATGGCATAGGTAATTTTTTAATGTTCATTTGACAAGAAATTATTGCATATTGAAATACTTTTTGGTATTATTTCTTTGCCTGTCCTAAAAATTAATAGTGACTTGGAGCAAAGCACCGGATTCGATAAATTTTTGAGTGACAAAATTTCCTATACCAAAGAGTTCAAGTATCCTCTTTTTGTTGAAGAATTGATTCAAGAAAATAGAAAATACTATGATTATTTGTATCAAGCCTTGAATTTCTTGAAGCTTAGATTTTATATAGTTTATTAGCGTTACCCGTATTTAATATGATAAACTTACAGTATACGTATTGTGCATAGAAAACGATATACATATTTAAATTTTAGATAATTCATAAAGAATGTATTCTTGAGAATATTAATGCTGTGATCCTATTATGTTTTAAAACTTTAAATAAATACCTTTAACTTGTGTCTTTTTCGCTTGCTATATAAAATTGTGATTTTATTTTGAAAGTCATAAAATGACAGTTTCAACTTTTATGTTCATATAGTTGATTTCAAAAACAAATAGTAATCTTATAAATGCAACTTTTCTCTTCACACTTATAGAAACAATGACCTAAAGCACCTGAACAGCTAAATTCATACTTTATAATGTGTAGGAACGATATATATTTGATAATTTAATAAATAAATTCATCTTTTTTCTTAATTCAACATCCGTGAACAACCTCATTATTGTTAGCGGATAATATTTCACATTTATCAAGATTATCAACTATAAGAAAAAGTCACATATGATAATTCTCTTTGCTTTTGTCGTTTTATATAAGGCAGCCGTTTTTTCAATTCTCCTTTAAATACTTCCGATTCCAATTAAATTTGCATCTATGAACCCTTTCTAATCAATATTTATTTTATTTTCTGACATCGCGGTTTATTCGCGTTAAATCATGCGCAACTACGACCTTATTTCCAGATTTGTATAATACGCCAGCCAGTTCATATTTTCCACTGATTGATGGATTTTCACTCTACTAATGTCTTTCTTCTTCGTTACTACAATAATCGATATAAAGAGGGTGGCCAAAAGTTCCCGAACACTATAATAACTTCGAAATAGAGCTAATATTGGTTTGTTTTGTATAAAATAATCATCAAAAGCTCATCTCTATAAGACAAATCCAATGCACTAAAATCATTAAATTCTAATTGCTAGTTGCTAAAAAAAATCAAGTTCAAAGATTATATAGTGTTCAGTGACCTCTGGCCACCCTCTGTACGTATACGTATAATTAACATGCCTACTAAAAAATAGGAAATCCTTTTACATGTATCAAATGTTTTGCATTAAACCGAACTGCAAATTTATCAGCCAATATAATGTATATAAAAATAACAAGGATCTTTGCTTTTCATTTGAAATAATGTATCAGAAAAAAATTGCCCGATGAGAGATTCTTAGTAGTTTTCTAATGAAAGATATTTAAATGAATTGGGATTTTGAATCAAGTCTCTTATATAAAGTTTCACTTGTATATACTGGTAGAATTATTTTTCCAAGTATCGGTATATGGTGTGGAACCTCTTAAATCGACAATATGTTTCATGTTATAAATAGAAAGAATTTCTTGATAATATTATTGGTTAAATTTGTATTTACTTTATTGATAGTTAAATTTAGTATTTACTTCCTAGTTGAGAAGTTGATAATATGAAACATATTGTCAAAAGAGGTTCTGCGTCATCAGAATAAAATTTATTAAGTAATAGTGCCGTTTTCTCGTGAAGCATCAATTTATATACATGTATTTCACGTTAGCGTTGATCGATAACTCGTAAACCGAAGTTTTGATTGGTTGCGTGATCTTCGGTTTAACGCAAAATATTTGATATACCGATTCTGATACATGTACATGTAGTTTGTTATTATATATTACATATATATAAAACATTTGTTGCTGCTCTGAACAATCAAACACTCCGTTTTTTAATCTACTAGCTTTTGCGTTTACAGAATTCTTTCACTACTATCACGTCTGAGTTTATAAATGATAAAATTTGATCTCCTATGTGCTGCCATCTTTGCGTATTTGATTGCGGTGGCGCACACTCAAAACGACTGCCAAGCGTGCACTAATACGCTCAATCAGGTGATGACCTGCACCGACGTTACTAATCTCGATGAATTGCAGTATGTACTAATAGCAACAAGAGTAAAGTGTGGATGTTATCAGGATCTCATTGATGGATATGCGAGGTATGTGAATAAGTGTATGCGCTTAGGTAAAATGGGTGTATATATGATGATACAAATGCACATTTAAAAACATTGCAGTTGTCCTTATTGCTCAACATACGATTCATATTACTTTCCTTCGGTCTCCAGTAAGTAAACCCAATTTATTCTTTATACATGTATAACTAGTTATAACGTCTCAGTTCATCCGCATATTTTCTTTGTAGCCGTTGTTTCTACATGTCAAAAATACAATTATTCCGTAACGGTGCCTAGCAGCACTAACACCGCTGGCAGCGATCCGGGAAGCAGCAACAACTCACCATTAAACGATGGAAGCAGCAACAACTCACCATTAAATAATAGAAGCAGCAACAACTCATCAAATGGTGGGCTTAGCAAAGGCGCTATTATTGGTTTAGCTAGCGCGGGTGTTCTCCTAGCCTTTCTTAGTGTCGCATTGGTCGTTTATTACAAGTGGCTAAAAGTCAAAAAAGTGAAAGATGAGAAAATCAGTCAATCTTAGTACACACCATGACAAAAGTAGCCGGATCCCCAAATTTCAAAAAGCCTCTGTCAACAAGTGCTAATTAATTCCATGTATATATCTACTTTCTGTCAGTTCATTAAATGATAAGTTTTTCTTTACCTAAAGGACAAATAACTGAATAATCAGCTTTATGGATTATTGATTCATGTTTTGTATAATTATTTATATCTATATCTACGTATATCTATATTGATATAATTCCCATTTTATTTGATCCTAAATTTATCTTTATTGTTATCGTTATAGGGAAAACAACGATTGAAAAACATCCACAGCGGCTGTAAAAAGAAGAAAATAAAAATAATGCGTCTCTCACCACTATTAGTTATAAAAAAAGAAGTGACTGTGGTCAACTTTATATTTTAACAAATAAACTTTAACATCAATGATTATAGCGATTGCGATAGTAATCATATCTTTATGTATTTCTCACATGCGTGAAATCAAACTAGTCTTGACATGTTCACGGAAGCGTACATTGCATGCTCAGTAAAGTCTGGATCCGTCCTATGAAAAAGTTCTTATGCAGTTCAGTATAGTTCGCCTGTTCCATGAACAATCGAATGGTTATTTAATGATCCCGAACCGTTAGATGTAATACATACAGTAGGGTAGGGACAAAATTTTTTTTATTTCGAAAGAACATTATTATTCCTGATTCTAATACATCATATAGTCTCTATTAAGGCTAAAACTCGTTCCATACTTTTAACAAAGCTTCCAGTGAGTTCATTTGGAAGACACCTCCATTTTTTCATCAATTCCACTTTCAAACCCTGAATTGTTCGATCTTTTTTTCCAATATCAGTCTTCATCCGCCAAACATTTCAATTGGCGACAGTTCTGGCCAGCGTAATACCATGTTCGGCTTTCCATTTTTTCACAATTTTTAATCGATGTTTTGGATCATTGTCCTCCTCTTGCAAGATCCAATCTAAGTTATTTGTTTGCTGGAGAAAGGTAGAAGACCTCTCTTGTAAATATTGCACATGAAATTAGTGTCAAGATTCCACCGAAAGGGTATTAGTTCTCAAATCCAGAAGCTGAAAGACGGCCCATACATTCACCTTGAGCAGATGCGAAATATCATTCTTTTCCCAGGTAATCTTCACATTTTCCTCGTTGGTTGATATAAACGAAAGGTAGACTCATCAGTAAAAAGTACCTTTTCCCATCAAAATTTATATGCTTTTTCGCCCACAATAGTCATTTAGCCTGATGAGAATTGATTTGAGAGTGGAATTGCTGTAATTTCCTCCAGCCTCAAAGAGGCGCCGTCTAATGGCACGTACACTAGCATTTACTCCTTTTTTTCGATTATTTGTTATTTTTGCTTTGTGTTGACAATTTTCTTGTCTTGCTTAATAGTCGTACATCTATTTTTGTTCGTCACGTCAGTCTTTAGTTTCCTCCCACTTTTTGTTCTAATAAATCACAGCACTTTTATTGCATCTTACAATCTTTGATATAGGTCCATATGCTAGTTTCGGTCCTTTAGGATGGTGGTGTGGAACGCAATGTCGTAGCGCTTGAGAAATGGAATGTCTAACGTTAAAGTAATACAAGCCATAAAAGGCACTAAGTAGATCAAAATTAATGTTAATTTCCGGGCCAAGGTTTTTTTGTAATCGACAAAACGACGCGGAAAACAGAAAATACACTTTTTTAAGTGCTACTGATCCTCCATCAATAACAAAGAGAAAGTATATTGACTAGTTATGAAGATTAGTGAGATTTTCGGAGGACGAGATTTCTAATAAAAAAATCCGAATTCAATATACAGAGGGTGTGCATATTAATTCGACCACTTTTGTTTTTATATTTCCGGCGCTCCAAAACCACAACCTTCTGGATTTTTTGCTTTTCATTTAGCTTGGGTCGCCACGTGTCTGTTCTAATGTTTACGATTTAAGTCACCCGCACGGACTCGTTTTCAATTAACGTTAAAGGCTATTTTATCGCTTGGGTTAGGGTTAGGGCTGGAGTCAAGATTATTTTTATTAGTGCTTCAAGCCATATTTTTCACATTTTTCGTTTAATTCTAGCAGAAAAACCATTTTTACGTAAAGTTTTTCTTATACTATCGCTTACATTGATTTTATTATTAATTTGTAATTTTTTATAATCAATACAGTATTGTTTGATAGTGATATGTTTATTAAAATAAATAAAAAACTATACTAATAGATATAACTTATATATATCGAGTTGTGTTACTTTTGAATGAACAAACAGTCAAAAAAAATGTATTACATTTTTGTAAATTATATGTTGATTTATTTCCAAAAATAGTAATTAAATGAATTTTATATATATTTATTTGCACATGTTAATAACGTGTAAAATCATGATACATGTACATGTATTACCGTTACGTAATCTTTTATCTGTCTATCCCGCACATTTAAGTATACATCCTTATCGTTATTGGTTGCTTAATTTTCGTTTTGTTAACATTAACGCTCTTATGATGGTGATTATCGTTATTGTTTATTTATCATCAGTGTTACTAAGACTATCGCTATTTGGTTGAAAAACAATATATAAAAACCACCATGTATTGGAATTTGCAACTATAATTTTTTTCTACTAAACACAACGCGCGCATCATTGTAACATCGACACTAATTTTACGACATAACAAAAAATCACGACATTAACGCTGAAACATCAAAATTAATCTGGCAACGTTAACATCACGACGCAAGATTTTCGTTGTTTGTAATATGTTATTTTTCTTTATATACGACCGAAGTCTATACGTTTGACAGAAATTATTAAAAACAATTAAACTCGACAAAATGCTTTCATTTCGAACTGGTTCGACCCCATCCCACGTCTTGTTATTGTAAGGATTTTGCAAAGGTAAGACGGATTATAGTTATTAATCGGCAATAGGACTTGAGTTATCCGACACAGTTATTGGGTCCGACTGACCTCTAGCAGGACGCTGCCTTTGTGTCAGCCGCTTCTTTGAGGAAGATTAACTTTGGCCTTCAATCTAGTGCCGCTGTAGTGTCAGCAAAGTGCTTCTTTATTGAGCTCTGATGTGATCTTCAATTTCGTGCGATAGCTAGGAGCAAAATGACAAGTTCACTAGTAGAGACTCGTATGTCCAGAACCTCTGTCACTCGGTTCCTATTGTCCTTTGTTTCTATTTCCTACAAGCTCACTGGGGATCCTACTTTGGGTCATACTCACAATCCTTCGTGAATATTTTCTAGTTTTGCAGTTAATATTATGGTGCAAGAAACTTCAAGATATAATTGTGCTTTACTAGGCCATGGTAAGCAAGTACGGGATCAGACGGACATAACCACGCCACTCGAAAATTTGCAGAGCTTATTGTACATTACAACTCTAACTTGACGATGGGTTTTTTTGTTCGCAAAGCTGTGAGAGTGAGCATTGAGTTCTGCATGTTCCACCAGTTAGATTTAAATGATCGGTTATTAATCAAAACAAAAGCACTCATTTAGCAGAGATTTTTGACTTTAATGTTTGATGAAAAATTAGTTTAAATGTAATTTTACAAACCGACACTTGTAGAGCCTAAATATTGCAAAATAAAATTTAATTAATGTTAAATGTTAATATGATTTAACAAAATTTACCCGAGGCGTAGTCACATGCTGGAGTTGTACGCATATTTTAATTTACTGATAGTCAAATTATCCAAATCACAACTGTAGCATATTTTTTTCTCGAACTATCCAGCATGTACTAAAGACCTTTATCCTAGAGCAAGCCCCTGACTATCCTTGCAATGGAGCGATTTTAAGGATCCAGCTTTCCATGATGCGAACATACGTGATTCTTAATGGAAGAAGAACGCTACAAAACTTATGTTTAATCGGTTGATCCTTTAGCTGCTTTGCTTAAGCAAAGTTAATTTGTCAAGATCAATTAATAATTGATTGTTTCTGCTAATTATAATAAAATTCAATGATAGTACTACTCAATGGGCAAACGCTAGAATCTAATATACCACGCGTCATAGTTGGGTAAATTCTTAAACTAGTTGATGAAAACCATTTTCGATCAAGTTTATTCGCTTCTCGCTTCAATTTACGGTCCTTCATAAGTGTACATTTTGTGTTAAAGTCTCGAATTGTGTGGAAGTAAAACGCAGAAAAAATCAATCGATGCACACGATTTCGTTATACTGCCCTGCAGCTTAAAGTCAAGGAAGCGACGAAGCCAAAACTTTATTCCATACATCATCGAAACAAAACAAATTATATCATAAAAACACTTTTTCATTGTAAAATTACGATCTTAATAAAAGGTTAAAAACAAATTTTGAAATTCTTAGAGTGAAAGATAATTGCGTGGTTTGACAGGCCAGATTTTCCGGAGTCAAATGATGACTTCGGAAGTTACATGACCCGACACTTTGGGGTATGTTCACGCAGAATTTGGATTGATTGAATTAATTTCCAATCCAATCAAAATAATGTGAGCACACCCTTTTTTTTCTGCCACAGTTAGAGTACTGGTCTTAGTAATGATCGAATACTATAACCGCGGGCACGGTTTTGATTACTTCTGACCGTGTAAACAGAAGAGAGGATGAGTTTGCGTTTGCATCACCTACTAATAGCGTACGTTTAATTTACTTCTGACTCTGCCGAACAGAAGGGAGATGAATTTGTTACTGGACATCATCTACCAAACATACCACAATCACAACGGTTTTAAATTTACTTCTGACCGCATTCTACAGAAGAGGTTCTACGTGTCACCCACTAAAACAACATAATAGCGAGGCCACAATAGTAGCAAGACCATCGCTCACGACTTCCGCTACTAAGCTACCATAGCAAATAACTCCAAAAGAACGCAAAACGAAAAGGACTGTTAGGATATCTGATACTATATTACCACCAATGAAAAGAGCTAATAAATCAAAATCTCATATATATAATATTATATAGTTGCAAATAAAAAGAGAGATTCAGTTAATAAATTCAGAT